TTGGTAATTATTTGTAGTGAGTATTGGTGGTAAGTATTGGTGGTGGGATTTGTAGTGGGTGATTTTGGTAATTATTTGTAGTGAGTATTGGTGGTAAGTATTGGTGGTGGGATTTGTAGTGGGTGATTTTGGTAATTATTTGTAGTGAGTATTGGTGGTAAGTATTGGTGGTGGGATTTGTAGTGGGTGTTTGTAGTAGTTATTGAGAGTGAGTATTGGTGGTGGGTATTGGGGAATTGATATTGGGTAGTGATTACTCTGGTAGTGTTCTTAGAGGGTAGTTGTAGTGAGTATTGGTGATGGGTATTAGTGGTGAGTATTTGTAGTGTCGTTTGTAGTGGGTATTTAAAGTGGGAATTTTTAGTGAGTATTTGTGGGCGTATTTGTAGTGTTTGTAGTAAGTATTAGTAGTAAATATTAGTAGTGATTATTGGTAGTGATTATTGGTAGTGGTGGTGGGTGTTTGTGGTCAGTATTTGTGTTGAGTATTTGTGGTCAGTATTTGTGGTCAGTATTTGTGGGGTTTGTCTGTAGTGAGGATTGGTGGGAGTATTTATAGCGAGTATTCATGGGAGTGTTGGTTGTAATTATTGGTGGGAGTGCTGGTTGTAATTATTAGTGGGGGTGTTGGCTGTAATTATTGGTGGGGGTGTTGGCTGTAATTATTGGTGGGGGTGTTAGTGGTACTTATTGGTATATCGGTGGTAAGTATTGGTGGGAGTATTTGTGGGAGTTTTGGCAGTGAGTATTTATGGAGTATTGGTACTGATTATTTGTGATTATTTGTAGTAAATGGTGTTAGCAGTGAGTATTAGTAATGCTATGGGTATTAGTAATGCTAGGGGTATTAGTAATGCTAGGGGTATTAGTAATGCTAGGGGTGTTAGTGGTGGTGGGCAGTGATTGTGGAATGTAGGATCTGTGAGTATTATCTGTGAGTATTGGCAGAAGTGATCTGATCTTTGAAAAAAGTGGAATGTCAGTAAAAGTGGAGTGGTGAGTGCTCGAAGAAAGCATAAGGAGTGAGTATGGTGGTGTTGGCGCGTGTTGGCGGAAGTTGGCGGTAGTATTCGGTGTGAGTATTGGGATTATTTGTAATGAGGATTGGTAGTGAGTCTTTCTGGGAGTATTTGTAGTGAGTGTTGGTAGTGAGTGTTGGTAGTGAGCATTGGTGGGATTATTTCTAGTGAGGATTGGAGGGGGGCTGACGGTAGGATCGGTGTGCTGGCGGTATAGGCGGTATTGGCGGATTTTTAATGAGTGCTGTTAAGAGGTATTGGTAGGGCAGTGGTATCAGCTTGACACTGATGGTTCCTGTAAGCGCATATATGACTATACTTCTATTATTGTGAGTTCCGCCAGGTATCATTTTGAACAACGCATAGAATATTCTCCCGAGGCTCAGGGGTTCCCATCATCTATCCTCCAGATAAAGTATATAAAGGTGGGCTCGAACACCAGTAGAGTACTGGAGAAACCAGTGATCACATAGTAATACTAGCCCCTATGTCCCGTGAGGTCCCTAACAGCAGTAGTTGTCGATAGTAGAATCTGTGGTCTTACCGATGACTATGGGCAGGAGTCGAATGATTATAGTGTTGAGAAAAGTGGAATTTAGAAGTACTTAGTGGTGAGTGCTCGAAGTGATGGCATTTGGTGAAGTGTTGTATCAATAATACGCAAAATGTTCCACGGTGAGCTGCAATACTTGGTAAGAAAAGCTTGCCGCTTTATTCGAGTTAGGCACTTGATTGGAATGAAGACCACCGTCGCTCTTGTATTCAGATTAGAGTATAATCAACTATTTCACTCTAGAGAAAACCTGTTGCGTCGGTTAATGTTTCTGTTGCCCATTATATTAGAATGCCTGATACTAGACACGTGAGGCTCCCTGAAGACGATTTCATGCAGATCGGAGAACCTTTGAATATATTGGCCTGAGTGGTTCAAAGTGGTAAAAACAGGCTCGCCACCTTCAGGAGTCGGAATGCTCACATTGTTAATTTCATCTCCTAGTGTGTTGAGAGTTAGATCTCCACTTTTTGGTGTGTGGCTGATATCAATTCTTTTCGATGTGCCGCGTTTCAAAGCCGCTCAAAAGTATGCATCAACATTTGATTCATACTTTTTTAATAATTATAACATGACAGTATGATAGATGAAAGCTTTCCACTACTTATCAGCTAATTTTTGAGTCTTAGTAGTCTATGTAAAAGGATGACCCGTCCGTTTTTCTGATTTCAGTTGGATTGCATTTCAACAAGATGATTTCCTTTTAGAACTCTAGTTATTTGTAAAAGAAAAAATATGGACTAAGGCTGGATTTGCTTTTAGCACAATTTTGGGACCAAAAAGGGCTATTCTTGATCAAAAAATCGCGCATGGTGTAAAACTAGACTCTTCAGTGGTAGTTGACTACTTCACCATCTCGACCCTCATACCATTGAAAAACACGCTGTTTTCAAGTTCTATATGTTCAGCATGTAATTAGAATAGCTTTAATTTGAATACCATCATTTAGGAACGCTCAATATAAAGAATCTTAGAACAATGTTATCTTCTTATTTGTTCGGTGTTACTAAAAGGTTGAGCTTGTCGATTCCATGTTTTAATTCCTTTGAATATGATAGGTGTCAATAAAAACGATACCACCATCGTACCTCTACTAGTCTGAAAAGCTGTTACCGCCTTGAACAAGAGAATTGACTAATGTTTTTGACCACTTAAAGACCTCTACATGTGCCTCCTCATAAAAAATTTATTTGCAACATTCCTGAGTACTGGGCCTCAAAGTGGAAAGAGCATCGTTTTGAATAGTAACTCGAACGCAGGTTTCCAAAATGGTATTCCCAGACCATAATTATATAAGTTATAAATTTCTTCTTCTTGAACATTGAAATAGATTTTCACTGAAAAATCTATGAATTCAGACTAGGCGTGTAAGACCATGTGCTAAGCTAGTTGGCTTACAATGATTATCCACCCTCGTAGACTACAGAAATATGATAAGTATGATATTTGAGCTCACTGGCATTATCACATTCTAAAGTGATGAACCTTCACAAATGGTTGACACACACAATGGTATAAGTGTCTAATTATCTAAGTCTCGTAACAAATCTACGAAAGACGTCTTGAGAAGTGAGCGAAGCCTATTCACCGAAGTCTGGAACTTGTTCATCTTGGAGTCAGGGCTGTAGAATCAAGAAAAGAAGTCTGGGTTTTCTCTCGTCACAGGATAATGCACCATGATACATGATTTATATATAATATATGCGGAAAGTCAAGGGTTGAAAAGGATGTGAGGAGCCCCGAACTTTTTCGTTTGCTTCAAGGGTTTCACAGGCTATTTGCAATGTGTTCTGTTCTTTTAGACTTGTCATGAATCTGTATCCTAGCCCAGGGAATATCAAACTTCAGGACCCTTAATCTTTCCGGGACAAAGCACAGGGAAATAAAAACCAACACCATAGAGCTGCCTCACAAATGTCGTAATTAAAACGAGAGATTTACTATCATCGTAGCTTGATTAACGAGCCGACATGGAAACTTCATACACGCTAACATGCAACAAACAGCAGAGCTACTCTGCATGCTGATTTCAGTGATCTCCTGAATACTCGAATGATACGAGTCGGTGAAAGGGGTCGAACTCAGAAGAGGAGAAAAATCAAAAAGGTATTTAGTACAACACATGTGGTTTTAGCTCAATTTGCCAATAAATCCATGTAGTTCACCTGCGCCATGGAATATATTACTTCATGATTCGTAGAGCTACAGTGATCCGTACGTTTGGGAAGCTTCATCCGGGAAACTCATTGCAAATAATGGTTCTGTCTTTATTATGGAGCTATTGATATCAGTGAGAACAGCTAGAAGTCGACATATGGTGCCAGAAAGTTGGCACAGTATTTCGAGCTAAGATCGAGAGGGACGGTAATCAAGACAACCAGGAAAAGACTGATAATACAAATACATAGAGAACTAAAGGGCCATGCTTTGACGTGTGTTTCAGAGAACCGTATAGTAACAAACGCGTCTCGATGTGATCATTGGTAGCCAAACGCCAGAATCAAGCCAGGGCATTTAGGCCATCATGAGACGTAGGGACGGTGGAGGCAATTGGGTACCTAGTCTCTGGATTCGTCACAGTGCCCATGTCGGACTGGGATGCAATATCTGCTTATCATGATGAGAAGAAGTTCATCCCCATAGTATGCCTCTAAATACCAAAACAGATGGAAGATCAGTCGCAAATTTCTTGTCATGACCGTTCCTGCAACATATGATCTATGGTGATGATTGAAGCTTTGGAACATATACATGCGACAGGTGGCCCAAGAAGATATGGAAAGCTTCGAGAAGCCACATTGGGATTTGCAGTGGATTGCAGTGGATATCATCTAGTATCACGGGCTTCGTTGAAAACCTCCCCCGGCTCTCTACTCGGACCATCGGCCGCTACACCATGCTTGGATACGTGCTTTTATTTGTACATTAGATAAAATAGGAGGTGCAAAGGTGAGAAAAAAAGACAAGTAGCTTTCCACAGAGAACTTCCACCAATTTTAACGGTAAGACTTTTGGAATCTGGCTCTGGCACCACGACCACCGAACTTCTTTGGCTCCATTCTTCTGGAGTCGGCAACCAACAAGGTCTTGTCGTAAGAGGCAAAGATCTTCTTGAGCTCGTTCTTGGAGGCCTCGTCGACGTATTTCTGGTGGTAGGCAACCAAACCCTTGGCAATGGCCTGTCTGATGGCGTAGACCTGGGACACGTGACCACCGCCGGTGACCTTAACTCTGATGTCGATGTTGGCGAACTTGTCCAAGCCGGCCAAGGTCAATGGCTCGTAGACCTTGAAACGCAAGATCTCAGGCTGGACCAAGGTGATTGGCATACCGTTGACCTTGATCAAGCCCTTGCCGGACTTGACGTGGGCGACGGCAGTGGCGGTCTTCTTCTTACCGAAAGTCTGGATGTTAGTAGGGAGCGGATTTTCAGGGGCGGCGGGTAATGTGGCATGTTTTTTTAATATCTTTTGGTCCTGACTATGGGGATGCACTGAGCCCGGAAGAGGCAGCAAAAGGCACCAAGAAAAGAATCACAAGAGAACCAAAAAAGGCATCTGAAACGACACTGAGAAGTCCGCAAAAAGCACGCGTCAATCAAGAGCACGACAAAAGCACACCGAAACGGATGGTCCCCAGAATCTTAGGGAGGCTCCAGATTTGGCGGCTTCTTTTGGCCCGGACACTGGATCACGTGGCGGTGGGCTCAAACACCCGTAAAACCGGGCTGAAACACGGCCCGCAAGCCTGCCAACACAAACGCCCGCACGTGCACGGCTAGCTACATACCTGGACAGATGGAGTGGACATCTTGGTGGAGAAAATAGGTATATGGTGAGGTTCCAAATCAGATGGAGGAAAAGATTTTTTTCGCTGGAGCCGGAGCGTGGCTGCGCGCGCGGTGGAGGGAGCAGGGACCTGCACACAACGGCGGGCCGGGTCGCTGGCGGCGGGCGCCAGGCAGCATGTCCTGGTCACGTGACGCGCCGCGGCGCGGCGTGCAGTGCGCGTGCTGAGATGTGCGGGCTGCGTGCGCGCGTACGCCGGCGGGCACGTGCACGCGTGACGGCGTTCCGCGGCCGCCAGGCCCGTGCACCAGGGCATGCTGCCTGTCACGTGACGCGGCCTCTGCGGTGCGCCCGGCGCCTGTGTGCGCGCACGCCGAAAAAAGCACGAGAAAAAAACCGCTCCATCTTTTTCTCTTTCTCCATCTCAGCAAACCTAGGACAACATGGCCATCTCAAAAAACCAACCCTTGTTGAAGAACCACTTCAGAAAGCACTGGCAGGAGCGCGTCAGAGTGCACTTCGACCAGGCCGGCAAGAAGAACTCCAGAAGACAGGCTAGATTGCAAAAGGCCGCCAAGGTCGCGCCAGCCCCTGTCGATGCTTTGAGACCCATCGTCAGATGCCCAACCATCAAGTACAACAGAAAGGTTAGAGCCGGAAGAGGCTTCACTTTGGCTGAGATCAAGGCTGCCGGCTTGACTGCCAAATACGCCAGATCCGTCGGCATTGCCGTGGACCACAGAAGACAGAACAAGTCTCAGGAGAACTTCGATGCCAACGTGGCCAGATTGAACGAGTACAAGTCCAAGTTGGTCATTTTCGACAAGAAGTCCAAGGCCGAGGGCGAGCAGATCTCCACCGCTGCCGCTTTCCCTATCAAGCAGGCCTCCACCGAGACCACCACTGCCGCCGTCGAGGTGCCAGCGCAGTCTGCCTACACCACCTTGAGAGTGGCCAGAAACGAGAAGAAGTACTGGGGTATCAGAGAGAAGAGAGCCAGAGAGAAGGCCGAGGCCGAGGCCGAGAAGAAGAAGAAGTAAGCGGCTGGACTTTGTCGATGTATATTTCATACTTTGGTTTAATAACACTGAACAGGTTACCGACGACGTAGGCGGGCGTTTCTGGGCACACCGGCTGTAGCTGAGGTTGGTGGCTCCGGGTGGACTGCATCTCTGTCAGAAGTGGCTGGTTTTGGGCCGCTCGCTGTTGATTGCAGCAATGAGATCTTTAACGTGTATGTGTTTCCCGAAAGCCAGTGTTCATGGTTCGTAGTCTCGGGTGTGTATGTTGGACAACAAAAGTATGTGTATGTTGGAGATCAAATGTTCCTAGAGATCAAATGTTCGTGGAGATCAAATGTTCGTAGAGGTCAAACGTTCGTAGAGATCAAATGTTCGTAGAGGTCAAACGTTCGTAGAGTTCAAATAATCGTAGAGATCAAATGTTCCTAGAGATCAAATGTTCGTAGCGATCAAATGTTCATATAGATCTAATTTCGTAGGGTTCAAATAATCGTAGAGATCAAATATTCGTAGAGATCAAATGTCCGTAGAAATCAAGTGTTCATAAAGACAAAATGTCCATTGAGATCAAATGTTCGTACATATCAAATGTTCGCAGAGATCAAATGTCCAAAAAACCAAATTTATGTGTATTTCAATTATTCGATGTTCATGGTTCTTCTTTATCCTGATATCAAATGTTTGCGTATGCTGTTTATTGTGTATGTTGGATATTAATGTCCATTGATCTTCATAGTTCTAAATACCCAATGTGTGTGTCTGTCAATTATCAAATGTCCATCATACAAACGTCCATGGTTCTCAGTATCAAATATAGGTGCTTTCAAACATTAAATGTGTGAGTTGAATGTGTGGAACGAATGTTCGTGGATAGATTGTATATGTATGTCAACTATCAAATGTCCATGGTTCTCAATATCAGAAGTATGAATCTGTCAAATGTCAGATGCACGCGGATCTAACGTGTGCCTCAAATACCTAGTATCCGTGAATCATCTGTATGTGTCCCATATATCAAACATCCGTGGGTTCATAGCAAATAACCATGCTTCTCAACACCTGATTCGGTCTTCGTATGGACAGGATGGATCAACAATGGCTGCGAAATACGAAGTAGACACTGAACTCGGCGTGGTTCACATCAACATGGCCAGGCAAAAAGCAAGAATTGGTGACAAATTTCTGAGCTCTTTCCCACAGCACCATTGGTGAAAGCACAACGAAATAAAGCCTGAATCTTAATATTGGTATTGTTCTAAGCGTGGATTCGCACCACCAATTTCCGCGGCGGTTAGAAAATTGGAGCCACTTTTCTCAAACCAATATCACATCGACACTTTCAAAGGGCACTACAAAATCTACAACCGAAAGCCACAAGGGCCGAAAGGACTACGAAGTCACAGAATACCAAGATTCCTCCGCAGATCAACTTCCCGTTTTCTCGACTGCCATCGGGAATCTTTGTCACGTGAACGGGCAAGGCCATACCTTCATTTCTGGGCCCAGATGATTTCTGGCCACTGGAAAGTGGCGTGAAGGTGTTGTTGAATTGAAGGCATAAAAAGTCGACTCAGGACAGCCGATTAAGACAGCGGGGCTTAGTCAACTTCAGAGACAATGATTGATCGATTATCAGCTTCAGAGGCAATGAATAATCAACTTCAGAGGCAGCGGGCAGGTTGAATTCACAAGGCACGAGTCCAGAGAAATTAGACGATGTTGTCAAAACCACGACCCTGCCGGTCTCACCCGTACTCACATGTGCTATTGAGGTGTAAATCATCTCTTCAGTCTTGACAAGATCACACCATCAAGCTATCTTACTGGACTCTCGCGAAGACGCCGACATGGATTGGCAATATCACAGCCCTACTCAAAAAAATGCTTCAAATAGCTCGGACTCATTCCTCACCCAAAAGAACCAGGGACTCACGAGGACCAACATACAACCCAATACACATGATCACCCATGGCACAGAATATCCAGTCTGGTCCTGCTCAAACCCAAGTACAGAAAATATCACAATTGGAACCCCGAATTCTCCCAACAAAACACTAAAACTGGAACAAGAACATTTCCCGCCACATAGACTTCTACATTCTCACTAGATCAAGGACGTGCACTCAACATATAAACATTAGAATTATACTACCGACAGGACACGATTAGTCGAACAAACCGAAGCCCATGTCGTCGTCAGACTCCTCCTTGGCCTCCTCAACCTTCTCCTCAGCGGCAGCCTCCTCAGCACCGCCAGAAACGGCAGCGGCACCACCGGCAGAAGCAGCAGGAGCAGCAGAGAAGTTGAAGAAAAAGTCCTTCAAGTTCTTGCCCTCGAGAGCCTTGGCGAAAAGGTCGGCCCAGATAGGCTCGAACTCAACCTTGGCCTCAGTAACCAAAGTGGACAACTTGTCGGAGGTGATCTCGACGTCAGCGTCAGCCAAAATCAAGGCGGCGTAGGACAAAGCGGATTCAGTAGACATGGCGAACTAGAGATAATCAATTTAAGCAATAGGCAGACTATTCTTAGTTTTGAATGGAGGAAGAAGAACGGGCACATTCGCGAGAAGTTTTTCGGTGGGTTTGGTGAGCAGCGCGTGCGCGGCTGGCCGCGGGGTCACGTGCGCACAGCGAGGGCACTGCCCTAGCGCTCTGTGCAGGTGCCGTTTGCAGCCGCGGCCTCGTGCGTTGTCGAGGCTTGGATTAGAGGTAAGACTCGTACGCAATTTTTATTCGAGTCCGTAAGAAAGCACGCGTGTACATATGCGCTAGTTATGGTTGTGTTTCTTGCCAGTGCTGTCGTAATCACCTTTTTTGTAAGAAAATGTAGAAAAAGGCTCTCACGTTTGGGAAAGAATCTGACGCAAATGGCTATTTGATTTTTGAAACGACCATATTCCCAAACAGCCGTGTATGATGTGCACCAGGTAAATCAACGTGAGAGAAAAGGCGCCGATGAGTTTGTTTGTCAGATAAGCCAAAGCCCAGCCATCGAAAAGCATCAGCAAGTTTCTGAAGACAGCTTCCTTCCACAGAGGCTTTGAAAAAGACGACTAATTGGTCCAATTCTCGCCAACAATCCCGCAAGGTCTCGAGCCACTCCACTAAATCTGAATAATATGAATCAGTTGGACAATACCTGGTGGCGAAAATTCGGATTCACTATAGTTTTTAGTAGAGTGTCAGTGCGGGCCAGATCTATCATGGAGGAATAGTGATACGTTGCGTTGCCAAAGAAAATCTTAGCGGAGTGCAAGATAGTGAAGATTTTTCATTTTGAAATTACTCTGGATACAAGATTTGCGCTAGTCTGTTGTCCACTCCAACACAAATGAAGGGCGATTAAGTGATCGCATCACATTTGTAGACAAGAGAGAAGTTCCATTCTGCTTCTTCTTGCCTTGATATAGCACACAGGCGCTTAATATCGGATTTTTTTGCTTTTAATAATTGATGTGCACCTGTAGCTTGAAATCTGGCCGGGACAACATCAAAGCTATTTCGCTTCAGTGGAATCTGTTAATGAAAGCTTCTAGCATATGTTCCTAATACTAGCCACTGCAGCAACTATTTCAATCAACAAATAAAACAGCTATATATGAGTGAGACCATGAAATCTTGGGATCAAAATTCAAGCTGTACCTCGTTCTATATTCAAGATTGGCTTTCCAAGATGGAGCACCTACCATCGAAAGTGATCGAGCGGATTTTATCAGAACCATGCACATAGGAAGTTCGGAACCGTGGTCTACAGATCAGCTGTCAAGAAAACTTTTCTTTTACGCATCTGACTACGAGCTTGGTTGATAATACTGTGAAAGTATGAACGGTGTACTGATAAAAGGGAAGGCTTCAATTTTCTGACGAAGTGGTAAAAAGAATTCGAAATATCAACAGCACTCACCAGAGATTTCAGTTTGTTGATCATCTCCTCGCCCAGTCTTTTTTGTCCTTCCCCATCTTTCTTTGTTACTCTATTTTTTCCTGTCACGGAAGTAGAGCTGCGTGCGAATTAAGGTATACAGTAAAATAAACAGGGCGAGCAGTAGGCTCGGGATTGGCGAACAAAGATAAAGATGACAGGCAGCCGTATTTTGATACCCCACGCGAGCACCAAAGCTGCGTATAGATATTTCAGCAATAAGGCGGTATTATTTCTTATTATCGGAACTGAAAAATCCTAAATCTCGGCATTTACAGGATTTTCTGCGCGGATTCTCTGTTGCTCCGAGGGCCCTCAAGGATGCAAGGCAGCCTTCATCATGCGGAGATACGACCGCGGTAAGTCCCCGGATCTCATTTTCCTGTATTGTGGTGACATGACACCGAAAACAACACATAACCCGCATGCATATTTTCGTGAGTGAAAGGTCTTCATGCTTTCATTTTGGGCTTGTATCACCTAATATTATCTCTGCAAAATCATTCAGATCTTGGAATAAACAAAGAAAGAAGGGGGTCTACTAAACAGGCAAAATTAGGAGCTGTAGCTCTTCTTGCTTCAAGGTATACAGAATAAACTCCTCGGCGGTGTACGGGTGTCCCAATACTTTCCAAGTGTGCATACCCCGCCCGTGTGGCTTTGTCAAATAACCGAAATCTCTCTCGACAGTGAGGCTCAATTAATCAAGTCACGAAAAGCGATTTTTGCCTCCTCTCATTCGGGAAAATAGACGGGGTTTTGGTGCATTGCCATTTGGCTGGCATGCCTTGACGCCTGCATTCTATGTGCAAGAACCATCGAAAGTCGTGCTTTTCTCGGAGAGGGTCGTACCAGAACTAGGCTCAAAATGCATCTCAGCGTGCCGCTGAATCCTAGCAAGTCTTCCTGTTGTATTCTTGACGATAGAGCCGTTTTTCTGAGGTTTTTCCGTTCAATTTGGTCTATTTTCAAAACGCATGAATGCCTAGCGCCTCGCACCCCGCATCTCCTCGCTTCGCATATAGAGAAAGGCCTGCGATGGTATATAAAAGCTGTGCCTCGGCGCCGTAAAATACCCATATATCCGCCTTTGATAAGCACTTTGGCTCACCTTCCCTGGCAACCATAGGCCTGGAGCCCAAAGAAAAAAAAGAAATAAATATCATGGCTGACTTCCCAAGGTTCAAAAAGCTCCACTACTACCTAATTCCACTCGTTGCCATGGTAGTATGGTGGGGTATGCTCATCGCCTTGTTGGCTTGTTGGGCAGCACAGGGAAAACCCGTGTATGCGTTCATGACCACCGATTATCAAGACCCCGTGTTTTTGAGTGATATTGCAGCCACCAATCTCAACCCCCTTTTTATTTCTTGTGTAGGGTTTCAGCTGATATTCTTTGTTGGAACCTTGGTGACGGAATACGTCTTGCGGAAAAAGCGCAAACTCCAGCCGTACGTCTCAAAAAAGCAGCCTAGGTTTGCGTTTGTTAGCATTGTCATGGCAGTAATCGGACAGTTGGCAATTTTGATGGTGTCCATTTTCAAGACGTCCACGCACAGAACAGTGCATCTCTCCATGTTGGGAGTGTTCATCTTCTTCACTTTCTGGGCTTGTTTCTTCAACATTCTCATCACCTATGCCTTTGGAAATTTCCCACAAAGATTGCATCCAAACCACGAACGCGTTGTTTTTGGAAGACACCGGTGGCTGAATGTCTACATGGTGTCGTTTTTTGCCAAGCTGGTGTGGCTTGTTCTCGCCGTGGTATTTGTTGTTTCTTTCGGGGCCAATTCAAACCGGTCCACATCGGCCGTCTTTGAGTGGATCATCTGTTTCTGGTATGGCTTCTTGCTTATTTTCTGGTCCATGGACCTTTTCCCATCTGCTGTCAAACACTACAGGGTACATCACTCGGAGAAGTTTGACGATGAGTTTATTGACAATCACCAAAATCCCCCTTCCGCCATGTCCAACGACGAATCAACAGATGGTGACCAGGAATCTCCTGCAAAGGACCACAACCCCAGTTCCTAGATGTTAATAAAACACTGCTTTCTCAATTGGCAGCATAACACGGTACACGATTAATTTTGCCCGGCGGATCTTCGCTTTTTATAAAGATGTTTTTGAAAGCGAGTATCGTCCACGTGCTGTATAAGACTCTATAAGGCACGCGGCAGTTCATTTGGTAATTTTCTATGCCATTGAAAAGTTTTCGGCCTTGTATGGTTGAACTTTAGAAATTTGTTATAAAATTTAGACCGATTTGATCAGGAGAAGAAAGCTCAATAAATAAGCACGCCATCAGCAAGGTTTAGACGGTACGAATAAATGCATCATCTTCGCCAAGGCTTATGGAGACACGTTTTGCTAGCTCTTTATTATCTTTCCAATCTATTTTATAACTCATCTGGACTAAACTGGTGTCACGCTTGCTTCTCGTTTCAAGTGAAAATTATGTTTGTCATATATTTTGTTCTTCGATAATGTCACGAAATTCCTGGTAGTGCTGGTCACATGTGTCTCATAATCTTCGAAGAATTTCAAATGATAAAATATTTCGGCATAGTAGGACTCAACTTGACATTTTTGCAAGTGCAGAGGCTGAAGCTCTTGATAAACGAACCCTTCTATAGAAATTGAGATCACTCGGGCTTAAAAAAATGACGAGCTATTAATGAAGAAATTATGGTAGAGGAGACTGAACTTTTCGATCTCTTTCCAATCATTTTTGGCCAACAGCGCATAAATTTCTCCTCAAGCAGTCTTTGTGCTTGACTCATTGTGATGGTTGCAGCCTGCCCAGAGATTTGTAATGATGAAATCGTCACATATAGTAGTAAGACTGACATTGTCCCGCTGTAAAAATTGTTTGCTTTAAAAGAAGTAAATCACAAATGAGGCTCATTTTTGTTTCAAAACGGAAAACAAAACTTTGGGATCATGGCTCATTGGGTAGATTCTCCAAGAAAGCACATAAACAAACACTTGTGTTTTGAAATGACTCGTGTGTTTGTAGAATCAGGCTTGTACAGGCCATCAGTGAATGTATAACGAGATGATAACAGTACTATGAAGTTTTCGCCCTATTTTGTGCACAAAAACATAAACCCGACTTAGAAGAATCTCCAAAAGTGCAAATTAAATGCTAAATAATAACGCCTTTAACACAATGAAGGTCAACTGTACATCTAATATATGCCTTGAGTAGCTCTTTTATGTACATTATCAAAATTGTTCTTTCTAAACGCTTGCAATGTTCCGTTGATTGATGCCAGTGACGCTTTTAGGACAGAACTAAAAAAATTCAAGCTGAAATGACCATGGTTAGCCAGTGCTTGAAAAAGCTTTGTTTCGTATACCGACAAATACCTTCAGCAGAGCCAGTATTTAGGCTTTGAATCAATTATCAATGGTGACATGCTCTCTCTCCGTGCAATAGTGAGAATAAGATACGACTTAGCGCTAACCAAAGTAGCAAATTGAAAGCATTCTGAAACCTCCAACAGACACTTTTGAGGATTAGTGCCATCTCGAGTGTCTCTCTTGAGCCAATTATCAGTAATGAAGGAAAGCATATACATTCTGCAAATTTTCCTGATCTGGCAGTATCAAACTCCCTTATTTAATGCACTGACCTGGAATTTAAATTAAAGATCCAAATGATCCCTACTGACAGACCTCAAGAAAAATTGTATAGAATAGGGCATGGACAATGAGAGCTCTCATTCATGACATCACGTGACCACAGCCGTAGTGTCATTCTCCTCCGCCCATCAAAACGAGTAGTATGGGAAGTTAAAAGTCCGAATTTCTTAGTCAGAGAAGAAAGGTTGGAAGTGTTCACATCAGAGTGTGGGTTTTGGTCATTTTACTGGCCCTTAACTGACCCTGCACAAGCCAGAGAATTATCCGTCGCCGCTGACAAGTGGGGATTTCCCCGGGTTCCTGCATATACACCGGTGTCAGAGGCATTACTCAGCGACTTGATGTAAATCCACTATTGGCGTAGGTAGAAACAAAAGAAAAGCAGCACCCAAAATTTTCCATGAACCTTTCGAGAATGGCGAGAGTGATTTGATTCAAAACTTTTCAACCAGTGGCTCCGTGTGCTGCCGCTTGAGCGGAACCTTTTCAAAAGCCTCCCGGTAGCGCTTCCTGATTCGCACATTTCGATGGCTGGTTGCGGAAAATCCGCATGCGCGCGTGCAGTCCCAGCAGTTCAATATCAAACATTTTCATCGTGGTATACAACAAAAATTCTAAAAAGCACAAAACGATGTTAGCTCTCAGATCACTTAAATCTCAGGACTGAAAATACGAAGAGTTTCGGAATTCTTTTGCTTCATGCTTTGTAGTGTTCTGTAGACTCTTTAGCGCGAGGCTCATCATGACTGACCCTGGCCGCAACTACGGTACCAACAAATAATCCGATACGTACATGATGCGATGGTTAGTAGACGGCGGGGAAAAGACTATACGCCTCCGGCTTTAGTACCGTGTGGGGAAACATAAACAGTTTACCCATGTTTTGGAGAAAAAAACAAACAATTATACATGAAAAACAGAGAGCAACCAAAAACACGGGAGCCTGAGACCGGTTCCACTTGCAAAATTAAGAAGAAGAACGGGGCAGATGGTGCTGAAGTCGTATCCGCAATATTTTCAGGTGGTCTGAACCGTCTTGAATTAAATCAAAAAATTGCCGATGCATCATTTTCGTGCCAACAAGCCCATATGAGTAAGAGAACCTGGTGGCCTCAAGGGCCCTCTTAACAATGCTGTACTCAAGATTCCCCGTCACGTGTAAAATGAGGGAAGTCCAGCTGAACAATAATAGCCCCTTAAAAAAATGAAAAGAAAAACTAAGAAAGCTCATAACGTTACATTCTGCGCTGTGAGTTCGGTGGCTAACTCAAGTGCAGATCTCGTATGTGGCCGGGATTCAGTTATTGGTTTAATGACGAAACCCAGTCTAAGTTTTTACTATCTTACTTCAACCTTGTCGAAACCTATGTAAGGTCTTTTTTCCGAGACTTGACGCTGGACTTTCAACTTTGCTTTCTCCTAACCTGGGCCAAAATTCTCACAATCACAATGACAGTTCACTGACCACGCTTTTTTCTTGATGGCACTGCGACATTGTCTTCGACTCCAATGCTCGCTCTTTTCTAAGCAGTCCCCAACAGAACCCCACGTACCATATGCACAACAGCAGCAACTCTAAGAAAATGGCCTGCTTCATACATGGAGCATCCCCACGAAATCAGAAAAAAAGGGATCAACGAAAGCAACAATTCCCGGTGAAAGTAAGAGGTATTGCCGGACTAGGAAACCTCGATCAGGAAGCTCAACACACACACTCGAAACAGAAACCCAGCTGTCTCGCATGTCCCTGAAGCTTCTTGTACATGGTCCCGTGCGTCCTGCAAGTGCGCCCACGTAAATTATGGAGCACCTCCTGTTTGCAACTTGCCGCCCTCAGCTTTTGTGATTTAAAAAGCCGGCAATTCCCCTTCTTGTTTTCTCCTTCTTAATTTCTTTCATCAGCCATTGTTTGGAAACAGCCGGATTTTCGCTTTTTCTTCCGAATTTTGCTCCCCGATTACACACAATGAGACTTGCTTACTCTTTATTATCCCTTACCACGGTGATTTCGGCATTGGCGGTTCCCGAAAAGCGTTCTTACAGCCAAACCGACAAGGTCCTCGGCGTCAATTTGGGCGGATGGTTTGTTTTGGAGCCTTATATGACTCCTTCATTCTTCGAGCCTTACAACGACGAGATTGTGGACGAATACCACTTGACGCAGAAGCTCGGTCAGAAGGATGCCCAGAAGCTTTTGGAAAAGCACTGGAAGTCGTGGTACACTGAGAAAGACTTCAGGGAAATTGCAGCCGCCGGGCTCAACACCGTGCGTATCCCCATTGGCTACTGGGCCTTTGTGCTTCTCCAGGATGACCCATACGTGACGGGTCAGCAGAAGTACTTGGACAAGGCAATTGACTGGGCCAGAAAGCACAACTTGAAGATTTGGATTGATTTGCATGGCGCCCCCGGCTCGCAGAACGGTTTTGACAACTCTGGTCTCCGCGACCAGATCGAGTACCAAACCGACGGCAACATCAAGGCGACTTTGACTGCATTGCAATCAATCTTCAACAAGTATGGTGATGAGAAGTACCTGGATGTCATTTCTGGAATTGAGATGTTGAACGAGCCCTTTGGCCCGCTGTCGGACATGAATCAGCTCAAGAACTTCTACGGATGGGCGAATGCAAATGCACGTTCCGTCACGAAGAACACGCTTGTATTCCACGACGCGTTCCAGTCCTTCAACTACTGGGACGACTTCTTCACCACTGACGCCTACAGCAACGTGATTGTCGACCATCACCACTACCAGGTCTTTAGCCAGCTGGAGTTAGAGATGACTATCGATGAACATATCCTGGTGGCCTGTGGCTGGGGCACTAGCGCTCTCACCGAGAGCGTAACGAATGTTTGCGGCGAGTTCTCGGCTGCCCTCACAGACTGCGCACCCTGGCTCAATGGAGTTGGCCGTGGTGCTCGCTGGTCCGGTGACTACGACAGCTCTTCGCTTTCAAACCTGTGTACCGCGTACACCCACTTGAGTGATTGGACGGCCGAGCACACGGAGAACGTGCGCAAATACATTGAGGCACAACTCGACGCGTTCGAGTTGACTGGCGGCTGGATCTTCTGGAACTGGAAGACCGAGGATGCTATTGACTGGGATATGGCCCGACTTATTGCGGCGGGCGTGTTCCCACAGCCATTGAGTGACAGGAAATACCCCAACCAGTGCGGGTTTTAATTCCGACGTGCGCACGATGTTTTAGATTGCAACCACTTTGCTTTACAAAAACACATCCTGAAGAGATGGAAGTAAAGAAAAAATAGAGTTTGTTTTATATAGCTTAAACAAGAACATTACTACAATGGATACACGTGAAGCCAAATGCTTGGCCGTACAATCAAAGTATGGGAGTAGCTCGCAACTTCCGGGCAAGGGGGTGCATTCTACGATAAGAGTGTGTAGGGCATGGTACTGTATAATGAGCAGATTGTGGGCAAAGATTGGTCTGGACCTTTTGAAAGCACGGTTAAAGTTGCGTCCACGCACCGTGCAGGTTGTGGTGCGATGATTGAGAATGCTTCTATTTGTTTAGAGCATATGCGTGTTGGATAGTGTATCAAAAAATAATTTGGTCAAGCAAGAATTCTCAAGATTGCTGTTTTCAAAAACTTATGGGTGTGTGAGAAGTGGCCCAAAAAGGGTTTGAACTTCCTGCGCTGTATATGAGTATGATTCATTGTGGCTGGTTCAGATGAATCTGCATCTGGCGACAAGCCCCCGTATTTGATTCCGTATATGACCCGTATTTTGTCTTGCATTGGGGCTCAATTTCGTAAAGGGCTTAGACGGGGCGTATGGATCATTTCTCTAGATCAGTACAATTAATCAGTACAATGAATCAGTACAATTAATCAGTACAGTAGACCAGTACAATAAATCGGTTAATCAATAAGTCTAAAGATAAGCACAATAGATAAGCACAATAGATAAGCACTGTAGATAAGCACAGTCGACGAGTACAGTCGATGAGTACAGTATATTAGTAGCGTAAAAAAGTACAGTAGATCAACGCATCATAGTAGTAATGACTTAGTAGAGGGGATGAAAATAGCGGATTAGTGGAGCAGATAATCTCGATGAATTAAGTAGCACTATATCACCTATTTGATTGCTACCTTGCAACAGGTGGGTGCAAAGAGCTGAACTGCTTAGCTGCACCTGTAGGACATAACAAAAGGTCATTAAACGTTCTGGGGATATGAATCAATTCTAAGAAAACGCACTGGGGCTCATTTACTGGAAACAGTGATTGGTTAGAAGTGAGAAAACAGAAACTGCAGGGCCTCGGGTCATAATACAAGTCGTACAATACAAGTCATACAATACAAGCCATACAATATAGATCCTACAATATATCCCATACAATACGATACAACCCATACAATACAGATAATATAATACACCTTACATTCTCTGAATACATCTCCCATTTTCTGATAACATTTCTCTGAACACATCAATCTCTAAACACACCTTCCAATCTCTAAACACACCTTCCAATCTCTAGATACACCTTCCAATATTTAAATACATCTCCCAATTTCTAAATACATCTTCCAATCTCCAAATACAGATCATAGAATACATCTCCCAATCTCTGATACACCTCCCAATTCTGATACACCTCCCAATTCTGATACACCTCCCAATTCTGATACATTGCCCAATCACAGGGCCCGCACAAAGAAAGCACCGGCTAGAGACTGCTCTTGCGGGCGAAAAACGCGCGGAGCGCCTTCTGCGCCGCTGCAACCGCGTACTCGTAGTCCGAGAGCTCGTTGTACACCTGCGCCGATAAGCGCATGACCACCTTGCCGTTGTGCGCCGCAAAGGGCACGAACGTGCGGTAGTTCTCGAGCAAGTGCACGGACACAAAGTCCACCAAGCGCTTCATCTGTGCGGCGTCCGCGGCGTCGAACGCCCGGCTGTACTGCTCCACTGGCACCACTACCGACACCATGGCCGTGACAAGCGACTGCTCGCGGTTCTCCACGAGCCACGCGCCGGGCCAGCGGCGCACGGCCAACGCGCCGGCCTGGCGGGCCAAGGCCTCGCAGTACGTGCGGATGGCGGCCTCGCCGCCACACTCGCGGGCCCGGAACGCGATGGCCGTGGGGATGCACGCCAACGTGGCAAAGGTGTCGGAGCCCACGAACGTGAACTTCAGCGCGAGCAAGTTGGCCTCGGCCTCGGGCGAGAGCGGCGCGTCCGGGTCCACGTACGAGTGGCTGATGGGCAAGGTCTGCACGGCGCGGTGGTGCTGCGGCGCCACGTACAACACCGCACAGCCGCGCGGGAGCGAGAGCCACTTGTGGAGGTTCAGCACGTAGAAGTCCGGCCGGAACGCGGCGCCGCCAAGGTCCACGGGGATGAGCCCAATCAGGTGGGCGCCGTCCACCAAAGACAACACGCCGTGCGCAGCGCACGCCCGCGCCACGGCCTCGAACGGCATGCGCACGCCCGGCATGGACACCACCGCGTCGAAGAGCGCCAACTTGATGTCGTGCGTGCGGAACGTGTGCTCGAACTTTGCGGTCACGGCGGCCGCCAGCATGGGGAAGTCGAGCGGCACGGCCACCGGCACAATGCCCACCGCCCGCGCCAAGAACTGCACGGTGTTGGCGCACGCCCCGTATGTCGTGCTGGCGTAGGCGATCTTGTCGCCCTTTTTGAAGGGCAACGAGCGCAACACGGTGTTGACGCCGGACGTGGCGTTGGCGACGAGCGCCACGTTTTGGGGGGCACAATTCAACACCTGGGCCACGGCCCGGGTGGCCGCCGCGTACTGCGCGGGCTGGGTGAGCCGGATGTACGTGTCGGGGCTGGCCACGTCGTCCATGAGCGCCTCGATGTACTTGTCCAAGACGCACTGCGGGGGCAAGCCGAAGGAGCCGTGGTTGACGGGGACGAAGCCGTTGTCGGACGCCGGGAAGTGTTTTTTTTTGAAGGCGTGGCCGAAGGTCATGGGCGGTTAGCGAGGGGTTAGATGAGGGGGCTTTTTGTTGCAGCCTGGGCGTTTCTGTCGAGGGGGCGTTTTATGACAGCGTGAGGTTTTGAAGTGGTGGGTTTTTGCTGTAGTAGGTTTTTGTTGCAGCGGAGGTTCTATTGTCTTTTTGTTGCAGCGAGAGTTCTATTGTCGTTTTGTTGCAGCGCGGTTTCTGGTGTAGTAGGCTTTTTCTGACAGCGTGAGCGTTACTCCTGTAGTGGGTTTCTATGACAGCGTGAGTTTTCTGTTGTAGGGGTTTTTTGTTGTGGTTTGTTTTTGTTGCAGCGCGGTCTCTACTATCGTGGCTTTTTGTGAACGCGCGGTTTCTGTTATCTGGCTTTTTGTTGTAGCGTGAGGGTATTGGTTAGGGGGCCCGGTTTATATACGACTGTGGCGGCGAAGAGACTGCCCGGAGATTGCGCGTCATTGGCGTTTTTCGCGATAACGCGCCATGTCTGAGTCATGGCCGGGGCAGCTTCAGGGTTCTGATTGGTGGGGATCAGGGCATTTGGTGGGAACCATCTGATTAGTCACGACAGATAAGAACACTGGCCTTAGTGGTGAGGCTGTCAGTTGTTTGAATCAGGTGACGGGGCGATTGGGTGAGAGGTCATTGATTCTATTGATGAGACATTCAGATGAGGGGGGCATTTACGGGACGGATGATTCTGCTTGGGGAGTACATTCGCAGACTAGATTGCTGAGGGATGATTTTTTTATTGGTGGAACATTCAGGTGACTGGGGTGTTTAGGCGACGGGTGATTTTGATTGGGGAGTACATCTGGCGGACTGGGATGAATTGTTTAATTGGTGGAACATCAAGGTGACTGGGGTGTTCGCTGGGTATTGGTCATTCAATTGGTGGAGATTTCAGATGCCTGAATAATTTGATTGGTAGGACAATTGGGGACTGGGTTATTAGGTGCGAAAGCTTTTAATTAGTCACGGCAGTCTAGATACTGGCCTTTTAGTTGCGAGTGCGGGAATTGACTATTCAATTGGTGGGACGTCCTGGTGACGGGGTGATTATGTGGAAAACCTTTTTGTTAGTCGAGGCAGACTAGGTTACTGGTAAGGTTGTTTAATTGGTAGAGATTTCAGATGTCTGGTTAATTTGATCGGTAGGACAAGCAGGTGACTTTTTGGGTGAGAATGGATATTCGATTTGTGGAAAGATATATGCCTGGGTTGTTTAACTGGTGGGACAATTGGGGACTGCGTTATTAGGTGCGAAAGCATCTAGTCACGGCTGCCTAGATAACTGTTTGGCTGTGAGATTGTTGATTGATGGACAAGCAGATGACTGGGAGGTGCAAAACCATGCAATTAGTCAAGACAGTTTAGGTGACTGCCCTTTTGGATGTGAGGTTTTCGATTGATGGAATGACTGGGTATGGCAATCGATGCGGCACATTTAGGTTATTGAGGTATGTTGGTGGGCATGGATAATCAATTGGTACGACGTTCAAGTGACTGGGTTGTTGGGTGGGATACCATTTGATTAGTCAAGACGGATAAGATAACTTGTGAGCCTGTTTAGTTGGTGGGACATTCGTGTGACTGGGCATTCAAGTGGTATGGTTAGATGATTGGGGTGTTTAGGTGGGGATAGGCTTTTCAATTGGTAGTATATTCAGATGACCGGGTGATTTAGTTGGCAGGACAAATCAGATGCCTGGGCAACTTAGGTGGGGATGGATTGTTTTAATGGTGGCAGATTTCAGATGACAACGAAGGATGAATTTAGCTCATGGGTATGAAAGTCCAGGCGACTGCATTATTTGGGTGGTAATGGACTATTTAATTGGTAGAACAATCAAGTGATTGGGTGCTTAGATGACATGGTTGTTTAATTGGTTGAATAAACCAGACGACTCGATTGTTTGATTGGTTAGATAAACCAGACGATTCAATTGTTTAATTGGTATGGTACATTTGAATGACTGGGATATTTGAGTGGGAATTGGCTATCTAATTGGTGGGAGAATTCTGATGCCTGGGTATCTTGATTGGTAAAACAAATCAGGTGACTGGGTATCTTAATTGATGGGACAATTCAGATCACTGTAATTACTTTGGTGGGGACCGTGATTGGTCAATATAGTTTAAATAGCTGGCTGTCTAGTGGCGGATTTGATATGTGGGAATTTTTCGACGGCGGAGGCATTGAGATGGTGGAATTTACCTAAATAGTTCTATAGATGTCTGCAGCCTACGTGTTTAAAATTGGTACATGGCTGGATTGAGATTGTTGGGGGACCACTTGGATGCTTGGATCTATTTCTGTAGCTTTCCCTGCAACGGCCGCAACCTCTATTTGCTTGGCTTTGATGCCATTGCCTTCTTTGGTGGGCCTTTTTGATTAACATTGTTAACCGGTTAAGACGACTTTCTTATTTTGACCATTTAGTCTTTTAATTATTAGCGAGGGACGCTCGTTTTGATGGCCAGGAAGCTGGCAATAGATACAATTGTCTACTGAGACTGGGGTTAATGGATGAGCAGATTGGATAGCTGGAGATTGAATAGGCCATTCCAATGATCAAATGCGGTCGGTTGGTCGGGATTTTAGTAAATTTGAGCGCCTACTACCATATCCAAGATGATGGGCAAGCAAAATAAACTATCTACTCGGCTAATTTAAAAACACTGAAAGTAGGATAGACTAGGTTATGGTGGGAAATGCCAGATTCTGGACATTTATCAATTTCAATGAACGTAAAATGACCTTGGTGAGGGAAATAAAAACGGGTAGCTAGCCCACAATATTATAGGTGATTATGTCTTCAGGTGCGCCATTCTCGATATCAAAGAGTATTAGACTTAAGTTGTTCCTCACTACCAAGGGAACACTTTTAGTAGCCATGTCAAACCTAGAAGAGCTGGGCTGCCAGTATGTTTGATGTTCGTCACAAAGGGGAATTTAGTTGAATGGCATTTGAATCGACAATGGGAATAGAGTCTGATCTGGCATCAAAGTGAATGGCGTGGAGCAACAATTTCATCAGTGAGGGACACATCTCCTATCAAAAAGAAGGCCCGGGCCTGTCTTGTTTCAGTCACAATCACCCCACAGCTTTCCGAATAGCCATATTATTTCATTGACAGTTTTATGATGGCAGCCGTTGCCTGTGTGTTTCTAAGCACCATTAATACTGGTGTCTGGGTCTTAAACATAATAGTGCCATGGTGACTAATATTGCGCCAGTAGTCACATTCTCGAATCTTCTCGGGTCTGTCTCAGAATAATCACCCGGGAAGAAATTCAGAGTTCGGGCTTCGTAAGTACATTTTGTCTTTTATTGGCAAGAAAAGCGTTTATGGGCTTTTTTTTTAGTCTCGCAGGCTTCGACCAGTTGACGTTATTTGGATATTGGTCTTGTACAGGGAATTTAGCCAGTAATATTCGGAATATACATTACTCATAGCAGAAATGTGTCACTAAGTCCTATATATCTGCCAGCTGAAGATGACGCTCAGCTCATGACCTAGACATAGATTGTCAGGACTCTTCAGTTACATTCAGAATTTGTAGATGTCTGATCCCTGTAAGACGTATGATGGAACCATTTTGAAGTATAATCGGGTATATTTAGGGAGACATAAAATGCGCTTCTTAATAGTAAATATCTTGAACTCATTGGTTTTGAGCTGATACAGCTTTGATAGTTGGAGCCGGTCTATGTATGAGGCTCTGGAATGGACTGAAACTTCTTGGGCCACAATCAGAATCACAACTAGAATATTCAGCAAACCCAATTTAGCTAGTATCCACTAAAACACGCATGTCAAGAGTGAAAAAATCACGGGCGTTTTCTTTTGGTTTTCCCCAGTCCCGTCTTTCGCCCTTGTGTAGCCTTGTCAAGTCTTGGAAGAAGCTATATATAACAAATTTTTTGTCTTTTTTTGCCATATTGAGAATTTTTGGACTTTCTTATATTCCCGCCCTCTGTATTACATCGGATCGGGCTCCAAAATTTCATGCTTACTCATACTCTCAATATTGGATTATACTATCTGACAGTAGAGCATGATCTCCGCAGACCCGCCATTACTTCAAATTGAACGAATTCTCTTCTGTGCTCCAAAATCAGCTTCTTTGAATTAATTTGTGGGTTTTCAGCTTTATAATAGGGTGTTGAGGGTTAAAGACGGCCCCATTTAAAGTCACTGTAGTCAAAGTTCATTTCTTCGATAAGATAACACGGATTAATGTAAATCAATTATGAAAGGCCTTCGCCCATATGTTATGGATCATACTCCGAATGTGGATCTTCTTATTTTTATTTGGTGAAAGCCCGAATGTGAGATTCTCAAGAATGACTCATTTGAAAACCATTTGAGTCTTGGCCCCGTCTTTCTTTAAGCTTCGAAAGTGATTAAGGTTTACATAAGGAGCTACAATTAAAAATTCTTGTTTCTCTACTTTTTTTCACAACTTAATTATTGACAAGACTTGAATGCTATATCAAATTTTACACTGGACTCAAATAATACTACATCAGACTATAATACTGCATCAGACTATAATACTGCATCAGACCATAAAACAACATCAGACCATAAAACAACATCAGACCATAAAACAACATCAGACCATAAAACAACATCAGACCATAGTACTACAGGATTCTCAATTAATACATCAGACTCCAATACTTCATTGGAATATCTATATCAATACTATATTATAGGGTGCTATTTTCATAATAGTAATAAACCTCTTATATATAAGTTTCAGTCACATAGACAGTCCTTTGTTAATTGATGAAATTTTGTTCACGTTTTTAATGCATCCCTTACATTTGAAAATTATGTTGTTAATATAATTTCACCATCATTAGTACTCATGATAATAATATTAGATTGTTCTTAATTATGATTGGATTAAGCGTATTTTTTCTCCCAATGACAACGGTCCGTCGTGGCTGGGCCACCAGCAAGAAACAAGATAATGAAGACACAACAATACCCAAGATAATCTACCCGGTAATGGCCACCAACTTATTCCGGAGAAGTAGAACTCCACCTCTCCATAAGCCTTGACAATATACAAAATACCGCCAACTCCAAAACTATGGAAATCCATACGGCAATGTCTTTCGTGGTTTAGTACTGAATAATCAAGGACGCCACAAATCTCCGTAGCCACCAAAAACGTGAGGCCGTACCAGTAGTTGTGATCGAGCACAAAGCCAATGAATGGGTCGGTGTAGTCATTGATAAACTGCTGGGCATTGGCACCGGGCACAGGCAAGAAAGTGACCATTTCAGCCAAAATATTCATGACAATCCACACCACCGAGGATAAAACGATATACGATAAGAAAAGAGCGGCAGGCCACGCAAG